ATTGAGGATTAATTCATGTTTGGGCAGTATTCTGAGATTCTCACATGCACGGTACTATTTAAAGCTTTTATTTAAACAGCATTTAGTGACTATAGCAGAAGTAGATTTGGGGGGTTTGGACTGATATCAGATGCATAAAAACCTAACACACAAGCTTTTCATTATACAAGCATTGTAATCTTACCACAGTTACGCTTTACGTTTTAGACTCCCTAACGTAAACCAAAAACAATATTCATAATATCCTGCCCAATCCTCCTCCTTCCCTTGAGTTCATTTTTAAAATTTGTTGCACATATTATACTCAATTTATGCCACTTATTTCTGGTAATATTTCACAGTACACTATACATACTGAAAAATATTTTGCAAATTGTGTTACTAAATCAAACTTTTGTTGCTGAAAAATGGGGGGTTGGGACACTTTTTTGGTATTGACTGAAAGATGTGTGGATTAGTGAATTTCTGCCACAAATCAGAGTAGCTCCTTGTTTACATCAGTAGAACTGAGCCAACTTGCACTAGCTGAGATTTAGCCTGTAATGTCTTGCAAATCAGTTAAGATTTCATTCACACTCCGATTGGCAGATAGTTGTTGACGCTAGTTTTCCAACCCCTCCCTCCTAAAATCAATTCTTAAATCTAATTTTTCAGTATCCTAACACCTTAGGCATGGTCCAACTATAGAATCAGACCCCTTACATTCTCAGTCCTACCTCCTGGGCATGTCTGCATTCTACACTCCATTTACTGCCTTCTCTTATCAAGCCTGTGATGACAGGTTTCTGTTTTGTTACCTCTTCAACAATTTCTGAGTGTTTTTCCGTGGTTGACCTACATCAGGGCCATACAATTTTGAATTCCTGTAACTGCTGTAGTTTCTCAGAAGATGATACAGATGAATAAAGTCTTGCCCTAGTTGGAAACCATCAATATAGATGCCGGATTTCTTTCTGAAACTGTTTGGCTCTGAAAGAAACACAAACACACACAGACTGTTCCTTAGAAGCATTTTAGAACAACATATGAGCATTCAACATGTGCACAGCAATAAGAACCAACCAACTTACAGAAGGTTATCTACAGAGCCATCCTTAGACATACGCGGAGTATGCAGTCGCGTAGGGCACCACGCTTTCTGGGGCACCACTCTGCCGGCCCGGCATGGAGGGGAAGCATACATGTGCGCTCTGCACTGGAGCCACTGGGGCACTGCCAGCTCTTATGGCCCCACCAGAAGACCCCACCGGGCCGAGGGACTCCGGAGAGGAGGCCGGCAAGCTGACCCTGTCTGGAGAAGGGAAGCTATCAACCCAGGCGGCAGCGCCGGAAGGAGCCAGGGCTACGCCAGGGGCAGGGTCACACGCGGCTTGGCGTTGCGGTGCCATTTTTAAAAACAGCCAAGCCGCACCTCAGAAGGAAACGCGCCGAGCAGGGCGCGAGGGAGCAGAGCCTCGCTAGGGCGGGACCGGCCGTGTTGTGATGGGCCGGGGCTGTGAGCACCGAGCGGCCCAGCTCTGGCTCCAGCTCCAGCATGTGGTCGGGAGCCTGGGCTGTGGGGACTTCTGGGGCCCGACCGCAGCAGACTCCAGCCCTGCAAACGGCAAGGCAGAAGGTAAGTGAGGCGAGGCGGAGGGGTGCGAGAGGAAGGGGCTTGTGCTGATGGGAGGGGACAGGTCAGGAGAAGAAAGGGGAAGGCTTCAAGGGGCTGGGGTGCAGGAGAGACTAATGCGGGGGGGCAAGTGGAGACAATGAGGAAAAGGGCAGGAGGGGGAGGTGTCAGTGGGAGGGGGGACAGGGTGATGCTGGGAGAGGAGAGGGGAAGGGCATTGGGAGCTAAAGGGGAGAAGGGGAGGTGCTGGGGAGAAGGCTTAAAAGAAGGGGTGGGCATGAGAAAGGCGGGGATGGAGCAAGTCGTGTGAGGGCACAGAGGGGCAGGAGAGGAATGGGGCAGCGAGTGGTGAGGGGCTGGGCATCTGGGAAAAAGAGGGCAAAGGGGGTAGGGGCAGTAAGGGAAGGGGGAGGCACCAGGAGGGTGCAGGGGTAAGGGAAGGTGCAGGTGCCAGGAGATTCTGGGGGTGAAGAAGAAGGGCAGACACCTGCAGGGGAGAGACCAGCACCAGAGGAGAGAGGCAGGACAAGTGTGTAGAGGGAGGTGTTAGGAGAGGGGATGAGGAGGGGTAGCTCACATGATCAGAATGGGGCTACTGGAGGAGTGGGCACAGGGGGGAGAAGGGCTGGTGGAGGGGGGCAGGTCTCAGGAAGGCTAAGGGCAGTGAGAAGGGCAGGAGTCAGGACAGCAGAGGAGGGTGGGGGGTTGGGGACAGCAGGCACCAGGGGAACTGACGGAGCAAGGGAAGGAGACATGGCAGCAGAGGGAAAGGGAGAGGTTTATAAGATATCTATTAATAACTTGGGTGCCACTGTGGCACATCCAAACAAGCCACATGAACTCAGTACTGGTGCACAACACAAAATTCATTTTGCTCATGGGAGGAAACTCTTAGGCTACATCTACACTGGCATGATTTTGCACAAGAACTCTTTTGCAGAAGAGATCTACACTGTCATGTGCTTTTACGCAAAAAATGTGCTTTTGCGCAAAAGCATCCATGCCAGTGTAGACGATCTCTTGCGAAAGAAAGCTCTGATGGTCATTTTAACCACCGGGCTTTCTTGCGCAAGAAATTCATGTTGCCTGTCTACACTGGCCTCTTGCGCAAGAACAGTTGTGCAAGAGGGCTTATTCCTGAGCGGGGGAGCATCAGAGTTCTTGCACAAGACCTTGTGGCCAGTGTAGACAGGCAGCAAGTTTTGGCGCAAAAGTGGTTGCTTTTGCGCAAGATGGCACCAATGTAGACACAGCCTGAGATGGAACACTTCCCCCAGCCTCTCCGCCCCCCCGAGGTTATTGTCACACACATTGGGGTAATGCAATTGCAGGATAATTGCATGAGGGGGGTTTGGTGGGGGCCAATCTAATCCCTATTGGTAGGAGGATGGTGGGAAAAGTCCTTGGGGGGGATCACATGACACCTTTTACTTTTGGTCATGTGTCCATCTTGCCCCAAGAGTGTTGCCTCCAGACGCGTGGCTAACAGGGGTCAGGCGTGTGGCTAATGGGGGGTCAAAGAGTACATTTAAAAAAATTCTTTGGGTGCACACCCTATGAAATGTGCTGTGCATGCCTATGACAGGAAGCAGTAGAGCATGTAACAGCAGGGCTGGGTCCTAGAAAGCTGAATGCACTGCCTGCAACACAGTCTGAGGGAAGGGATTGGCTGCTGGGATTTTTGGGAAGAGGAGGGAGTGGGGGTGGAAGAGCAAGTCAGGCATAGGGGCAGCAGTTTAATAATCTCGCGTAGGGCACCATAAATCCTAAGGACGGCCCTGGTTATCTATACAATTGGGCAGTAGATATGCTATGACGTAAGAGATAGGAAATATTACACCTACAGGAGACCACTCCCCCCAGAAATGGATTGTTGCATATAGTCTGTTTTCCAGACTTCCATCCAAATTAGTCTGAACAAACATGATGCTCTCCTGCACTTCTATAGCGCCTTTCAGCTGAAGATCTCAAAGCACTTTACAGTGAAGTGATTGAAAACAATTCAATCAAAATAAATCAAGCCCTCAGAGCTGTTCCTACAAATTTTTCATTGTAAAAGTGACTGGCCATTGCCACATGGTAGTAAATATTTCCATCATGGCCTTGCTCTCTCCCATTTCTTGGCCTGCTATGCCTCTCTTCTCAACCCAGACAGCCTGTCCCCACCTTCTGTTATTAGTGATCCTACTTCTGCTGTGTTCCACTACTTGTCTCCCTCCTCACCTGATCCCAAAGTCTCTTCTCCTGCTCCCTCTTAAGACAGCCTAATATACCGCTAGCCAGCCCA